TTGCCGTGTAATTTTTCGCGCCTCGACGGATTTGCTTCATGAAATTTGGATTTAGGTTCTACTTACCATCCACTTCAAAGTTGAACTTGAGCCCAGGGTTGCTTTTACTTGAGGGGTGAATGCCACCCCTCCTCGGGGGGGAAAAAAGATACGTTCAAAATAAGTCCGGAAATTGATAAATTGAGTAATTCTAAGCAACTTTTGTTCTATAGAGTTTTTTCACTAAGTCAATAGTATTCGAGTTAATTTGCGAGTGAAAATGTTCATTTTTCAACAAAAAAAACTACGTTTTCAGACGGTTTTTCGCAAATAACTCTAAAAGTAAGTATTGTATCGAAAAAAGTATTCTTAGCAAAAATATAGCTTATAAACAGACAAACAAAATGGTCTATATATGAAGTCTGTAGACCCAGTAGAAGCAAAGTTGTAGCTCATGAAAAGTAGGTTCTCATTCGTCAAACTCCAAATCGAGTACTTCAACGTGAAATAACTGAAAAATGAAGCACTTTTTGGGAAAAACGTATGAATACTTTTTTAAAGTATTTGAAAAAACCTTTCTTTTTGTTTTAGAAAAGTTAAGAAAAGTTCCTAGTATCAAAACTAAGTGAGTTACGATCAAAATAAAGTTGGTCCTTTTTTTTGGTAAAAAAAATCGATGAAATCACCCTCTAAGTAGCACCCCAATTGAAATTAAGCGTTACCGCTTTACAGTTTACTTTATTTATGTATTGTTTATATGATCTGTAAGTTTGACCGGTGCAAAGTGCTTATTTTTGAAAAAATGTAGTTTTGAAGTAAAAAAAAATTTTGAAATTTTAAAAAATTGCCTTTTTTTCAAAGTAACTTCAAAAGTATTAGTGCTACGAAAAATTTACAAGAATAAAAAAATGTAGCTTTTGCTTTTCTGAACGTTTTGCTTTTTTTTTGTAAAACCAAAATTGGTTAAGATATGGCTGTTCAAAGTTTGCATACACTCGTCATTAGTGACTCATTCGAACCCTTTCAACTACAACCTTTTCAAAAATAAGGGTTTAAAAAAAATTAATTTGAATAATCTTATACAAAATGGTTTTTAATTTAATTTTTTATTAAATACATGTAAGTTATAATGTAAAATAGGTGTTAAATAAGTATCAATTGTAAAAAAAAAATAAAATTCTATGAAGTTGTTGCAAAAAAAAAATGGTTTTTTAAAGCACTTCGTAGGTTAAAAATTAACCGATTTATGAGGCACAGACATACTTTCACCCATCCTTACAAACTATATACAGGGTGGTGACTTGCGTAACGCATCATAGGGATTTCAATGTAAAATTTGTAACATGCGATTATTGGCTCCCCAAATTATTTTAGAGCAAAAATGTATTAAGGTTTTTTGTAGAAAAAAATTTTTTACGTCAATCAACCGTATTAGTTTTCAATTTTTTGCATAATAAAGACGGAAAATTGGAAAAATAAAACTCCCATCTTTTTCAATAATCTTTGATGCCATGGAATTTTATAATACAAAAACTACGCCAATATCCGTCATGCCATGGAATGTCTGCTATAAAACAAATCACATTCTATCAAAAAGTATTATATTTAGAACAGCGAATTCAACATAAAGAAAGACCAAATTACTAAAAACGGTTTCCTAATATAACAATTTACAATAAATGTTCGAATAAGTCACCATTAACTGCAATACAGTAACCAAGTCGATCATAAAATCCATTTCGAACTGCTGCTAATTGATAACTGGATATCTTTTTGTTTTAGAAAATTCCATGGCATCGCAGATTATTGAAAAAGATGGGGGTTTTATTTTTCCAATTTTCCATCTTTATTATGCAAAAAATGGAAAACTAATACGGTTGATTGATGTAACAAATTTTATTCTACAAAAAACCTGAATACATTTTTGCTCTAAAATATTTTGGGGAGCCAATAATCGCATGTTGCATATCGCATATTGCAAGTCGCATGTGGTGTATTGTAACCTCACAAGTTAACAATACACCACACTATCACATTTCTCAACATTATCCGAGACATAATCATTAGAAAATCAACACAACCACGATCATTCGACTTATTAGATGTTTAATTGTATTTCAAATTTCAAATAATTTTGACGCCAAGGTCCGAAGATGCTACATTAATAGATAGCGAAATCGATAACCTAAAGGAAAATATATTTTAATTACTTACCTAATACCTATTAATTAAATAATTGCATGGTTTATTAATTTTGTCAGTCGACATATATTTAACGTCAAAGATTGAGTTTTTTTAAATATTGGTGAACAGATTCAGGGCACCAAATTTAGTAAGTGTTTTAAATTTTAATAGTACAAGTTGTATTCTGATCTTATTTTGACATATTATAGAGAATAAATCTTCCCTTACTTTGATATTGTGACTATTAGTCTGGGGGATTCAAATCTAAACAGTGCCACCTGAACCAACCAGTAATCAATACGACGACTGGTCGCGACTACGACCAACAACACATGCTATTTCAATAGGAATATTCCCTGGAATATTCACATTTGACGGTCAGGTCACGGTCAGAACATGCTCATAAGAAATACAAGCTACAATAATTAACCGGACCGAGATCTGACGGTGACGTGACCGATACTGTGAATTGGCCTGAATGGAATACTCTAACAAAATTTCCTCAAAGATTTCTCTCGCGAGTTGCTGTCGGATAGCACTGTCGAGGTGTAAATACCACCGTACGTGAACGCACCCATTGATTGAATTCTGAAAAATCAAAGCATGTGATTGGCATGCATGAACACCTTATGGTCTCACTTGCATCCGCATTTCCCTAGGATTGTGAGCTCCTTTCATATTTACACCTATTTGGTCCAGTTTGGTTCCCAGCCCACTTTGCCTCCATCCCCAAGTTGACGGATGTGGAGGGCATTCAGTAGGATAAAAGCAGTGCCCCCACAACACATGACCTGCTTGATTGGGGACAGGAACTGCAGTAATTTATTTTTGGTACAAAATAAATATTTTCCCACATTAGTAGTGGATTTCTCCTGTGCTTCGGGGTCATAGAGAACGGTAGTAAATTCTTCCAAAGTTTTAATTGTTTTTTTCTGTTATTGCTCTTTGTGAATTGGAGAGTTCAAGTAAAGCTGGTGTCACGTCCGGGCGTTTCATCCAAGTCATAAACGCCTTCTTGTTTCCAATAGAATTGAAGCAGGGCGTTGTGGCATAACCTGTGTAACAATGAAAGCCCCGTAGGGCTTGTGAATTTTCTTCTCCAAGTGCTAATACATTAAAATGGGTCGCTAGATATCGACGCTTGGCCCCAACACCTGTCAGATATCCTTCTTTCAGGTCGAGTTCTTTCAGAAAAAACAAAACAAAATATATATGACCATCAGAACGTCAGTATCTCAAGACTGGACGAGGATGTTCTGGGCTCCATGCTCCACCATATCTTTCGCATGGAGGATGATTCGCCCGTCCGCCTCTTCTTGCGTAACTTGTATCCCATCAAAAGGGAAAGCGTTCTCAATTGTAGGAAAATGCGGCTGCAAGTCAACTTGTGAGACGATGAGGTGTTCATGCTTACGAAACAGCCTTCCCTGCACCCTACAGAGTTCTAACTGCCAAGAACACGGCAAAAATCTCAGCCGAGTATATTGTACATGCTTATTATAAACATGACTGTGAGCGTTTTATTTTTAATGATTTTAACTAAATATTATTTATAGCTTGACTGCAACAGGAAATCTATGATCAGGCATTTCCCTTTGATGACTGATGAGTTTTTACTTGTAAATACGTTTCAATAATCAACAATTTTTAGTTAAAAACAGGATTCAATGAAGAAGTTTCAGTTTTGCACTTAGTCAACCTCGATCTGTTTATTCAAAATACATAAAAATTCATAAAAAAAAAGGCCTTTAATGGGTCTTTTTTGGTAATCTTCGCCCAAAAGAATCTCAGAAACGCCACCTCAACTACGAAAATCGGTCAAAACCTCTGAATCTTGTCAGACGTTAAAGATATCATACAATTGGCCTACATATGATAAATGAAACATGCTTCCCACTAAGAAATTAGCTTTGGATATCATTTTTGTGATATTCACCGTCGGAAACCTCGTAAACGTCACCTCAAACGTAAAAATCGCTCTAAAAACATATACAGGGTGTCCCTAAAAGGTCTGTACAACGCGCTACCAGGTGTTCTTGGTATTAAAATAGGACGATTTAACCCAACTTACCTCTATCCAAAAGTGCTTCGGTAAGGCGCTATCTACCGCCAAAGATTCAAAAAACAAATCGTTATTTTTATTTTATCGGAAAATGGTTTTGCCGATTAAAATGAAAGTCGGGATGTGAATGTCTAATGTAGAAAGGGTCTTTGTGATATCATCGTTTTGATTGTAGTTGCTATGTAGGTGGTACAATACTGACCATCCACATCTGAAGAGGTCTAAAACTTTTTAACTACTATTTTGACGGTTCTGAATTTTTAGACACTGATAGACAGTTTACTTGCAAATTCACATCCCGACTTTCATTTTAATCGGCAAAACCATTTTCCGATAAAATAAAAATAACAATTTGTTTTTTGAATCTTTGGCGGTAGATAGCGCCTTAACGAAGCACTTTTGGATAGAGGTAAGTAGGGTTAAATCGTCCTATTTTGATACCAAGAACCCCTGGTAGCGCGTTGTACAGACCTTTTAGGGACACCCTGTATTTCCTGAAATTGTCAAAATTGGCGCCATTTTCAATCCTAAGGGACGGAACTTCCGGCTCTGCGTCTCAAATCACTCCAATAGGTCTAGGGAACATGTGTTCCAAGTGGCACAATTTTAATACGAAATGCCGAATAATACCAATATTTATCACGAGCCGCTCCTACTATAATGAGAGTGATTTCT